CAGCCCAGAGACAAAAAACAAAACAAAAAACAAAACCCCTACAAAAAGACCCAAAACTAATATAAAAAACAAAGAAAACAAAAACATCCCCCCCCCCCCCACTCCTCTCGACCAGGACGTATGATGAAGCCTGCCCAAAAACGTTTTGTTTTAGTATGAGTTTTACGGCACTTGCAACACAATAAGGTCATATAAGTACCGAAGATTAGAGGTGTTACAAGAAAATACATGTAACAAACTCAAAATAGAAGGAGGGGAGATAAGGAACATATAGATATGTTTGCCAGGAAAGAAGGAGCAAACCACACCAGAGCACCCACCAACCACCCACAAACATGTTGCAGCAGCTATGATGCTATGACAAGCTGTGCACACCACACCACACCACACCACACCACACCACACCGACCCACCCACCCACCTGTTGCACCTGCACTTAGTTTATTCAATTGTCTCTCTACGTATTTATTGTTTCCGCGTTCAGTCTATCTATCTTTATTATATCCCATTCGTCCTCGTCCATTTTAAAATTTTACTTTCGGGATTCTGGATACAGACAATGTACTAAAGCAATACTTACAATACTCATATCATTCCCTCCCCCCCCCCCCAATGGTATTGACAGCAGGCCCCGTTTCACCTCTCCTCCGTCCCTGAAACACTCTACCTCCGAAGAAAAAACTAACCGTTTAGTTTAGCTTAGTTTTAGTAAGAGTTTTACGGCACTCGCAACTGCATAAGGTATTATGAGCGCCAGAAGATTAGAGGTGTTACAAGAGAGTAACAAACACAAAAAAGAAGGAGGGGAGATAAGGACGATAGATGTTTGATAGGAAAGAAGGAGCAAACCACACCAGAGCACCCGCCAACCACCCACAAACTAACCGGATTTTTTAAAAACCCAACAACACATAAACATTAGATCTAGACTAAATAAAACAAACGACATCATCAACAACTACCCACCCTCTGAAAAAAATAACAAAAGGAGCCATGGCCGAAGATTAGGTTTTTTTTAAAGAGAGTAACAAACACACACAAAAAAGAAGAAAATATAAGGACGATAGATGTTTGATAGGAAAGAAAGAGCAAACCGTACCAGAGCACCAGCCAACCACCCACGAAAGTAAGACAACTGCACAAGGTCATAATATGAGCCCGCGTGACACATTAAACACTTTAAGTTGGTGGCAGAAAATTTTGAATTCTGCCCGGGTGGCGGCCGAGGCCTACTCTTATCGATTTTGGACCACCAAGGGATCTTTAACTTGCGCAACTTGAACACGACACCTCCGAGATTTTTCGATTTTTTGTAGCAGTAGACAGGCTGCAGAAAGAGTCAAGAGCCCAGAGGATGGGGCAAAAGAGGTAAGGGGGTAGGGGCAGAGAGTGGAAACGAAAGCAGACGACAGAACATTGCTAGAACAGGAAAGGAGGTGAAAGGAGACAATTTTAGAGAAGAAAAATTTCTGTCGCAATCCGTACTCGAACCCGGGACCTTATTGAATGAGAGGCAAACACCTGAACCTCTTGGCCACGAGAACCCCCACTGACTCTCTACGCTGGACAATAAATGTTATTTACCTCTATTGTTGGGGAAAGTAAGACAGTTTTTATAAGAGTTTTACGGAACTTGCAACACACTAAAGCCATACAACAAGAGCCGAAGATTAGGGGTTTTACCAAAGATAGTACATAACAAGATGGGCCACTTCTCTCTTTGAGCCAATTAAAAAAGTGTCCTCAAAATTTGGTGGCGCCCTCTTCACAAAAGCGCACTCTTTGCGAACAGAGTTACCCTACTTGAGTTTTAAAAAATCAAAGTGAAACTAGCAAGTTTTGGGATAAATTTCGGAAGAACGCTTTTTTTTAATGGTTACGCTGACAAAAAACCTCTTCCGGAGGAAAGGGTGATGGTTTTCTTCGTTTAATTTGACTTTAGAATGAAAGGCGAGAGGTCATTAAAATAAACAAAACTAAAACTCCGCACTGAACGTACCCAAACTGCTGATGAACAGCAGTCGATCTGCGCACGCAAGGAGGTGCTATTCCTATTCTTCTTCTGGAAAAACGAAAGAGAGCTTCAAAACAGACTGCAGCGCCATCTGCAGCAAAGAGCATACTTCCTGCGGACACTTTTTTGGCTGAGTGGCCCATCTTGTTATTTACTATCATTGGTTTTACAAGAGATTAACAAACACAAAAAGAAGGAAATGTAAGGACGATAGATATTTGAGAGGAAAGAAAGAGCAAACCGTAACAGAGAACTAGCAAACCACCCACGAAAGTAAGACAGACTGGCAGAAACAACAGAGGAAAAGAGAAGAAATAGGACCTAACCGAGGCGCCTTCCAAACACCCGCGTTCTTTCCGGATCCATACAATAATATAATGACACAGGATGGCGTTTCAAAGGAGGAGAGTGGGTGATTGGTATATGATCTGGTGCGGTTTGCTCCTTTCTTTCCTTTCAAACCTCTATCGCCCATATCTCTCCTTTTTATGTATGTTACTCTCTTACAACACATCAACTCTTCGGTACTTATATGACCAGTGTTGAAAGTGCCGTAAAACTCTTAATAAAACTTGAAAAACAACAGCAACAACCACCATGGGTGGAGCAATCAGTTTCCACAGACAACATCACTTTACTATATGGTGGGTGGGTGGGAGAGTCAGGAGGAATATTGCAGGAAAGACGTGACAAATTCAGAAACCATTCGTTGACAAGTTCCTTACCAACAGTACCACGTAGAGCACCCAATGAAGAAACGGTCTACCCCCCACAAGGACAGTGCTACTGACTGCAGAAATTGTCTTTAGGCCATTCCCAAAGTGGGGTATCAACATGTTCTTATGCACAGTAGAATTGTAAATGGGCTGATTTATAAATGTCATGCTCATACTGTGCTGGAATAACATAGGGGGAACCGATTCTTTCTCTTTTTTCATCCTTACAAGTTGCTATCGTCATTTTTCCTCGGCTTCTTTTGTATATTAAAATGTGTCAATCTCGTGAGAACTGCTATTCTCGGGTGCCTTGACAGTCGAAGCAGACTTTGTGCTGTTGAGGCTAGAGAGGTGAACAGGTAAGCCTGATTCCCCGTTTGGACTTCTCTGTTGACATCCACCCCTTGGCGCTCATATGACCTTATGCAGTTGCGAGCGCTGTAAAACCTCAATAAAACAAACAAACGAAGAAAAGGTCTGGATAGGTTGTATATTATTGTTGCAGGTCGTCTCTCTAAAATTAAAAACCCTGAAGTGGCAAGAAAGTTGGTTTACTACATACAACGTGATCTTTTAGTAAGTCTTACGGCACTTGTAACACAATTAGATCATAATAATTGTAAGTGCCATGATCACGGCATACTGAACAAAAAATACGGCTGTTTCACCCACAGTATACACTTTGACAGCAACACCAACAGTGATAGCAACAGAAGACAGAAGTGGGTGGTTGGAGGGTGCTCTGGAGTAGTTTGCCACTTCTTTCCTATCAAACATCTACTGTCCTAATCCCTCCTCCTTCTTTTTTGTGTTTGTTACTCCCTTTTAACATCTTTAATCTTCGGCACTTGTATGACCTTATTGTGTTGCAAGTGTTGTAAAACTTTTAGAAAAAAAAAAAGAAGACGGACTGCTGTTCTATAGGCCACACGAGACTACAATCATAGTGAGCTAGAGACATAACTAATAGCAGTTGGCCAGTTTTGTTTTGTTAGGTAGTAGAGAAAATGATGTCTTGATAAAAACTTAATAAAGCCTTCTTTACAAAAACCCCCATGGATTTATTGTATCTTTTATCAACCCATCTAGATCTATCCATTGAATTATGAAAGCATTCTATGACTAGATGTATTCAATGTTTTCTTATTAAAATAAATGTTTTACACTCTCTGTTGACACGATTAAGATCAAGTAGGAGACCAGCTGCTTTGACCCTGCTTTCCTGCCCTATCCGGGCGGAGATGTGTACATTCTAGCAAACAGAGATACTGTACAGGATAAAAATCTTCCTACTTAGAATCAAACTCCTGCCTTCTGCATGCATTTTGAGATCAAACTCACATTTTCTTCACGCAACGGAAAAGAGCCTAAATGCATACTTCATCATTATTGTTTTAGTAAGGTTTTACGGCGCTCACAACTGCATCGGGTCATATGAGCGTCAAGGGGTGGATGTCAACAGAGAAGTCCAAATGGGGAATCAGGCTTACTCTGCTCACCTCTATAGCCTCAACAGTACAGAGTCCACTTCGACAATCAAGGTACCCAGAAAAAGCAGTTCACAAGAGAGTGACAAACATACAAAAGAAGTAGAGGAAAAATGACGATAGTAAGGATGAGGAAAGAAAAAGCAATTACAAAGTACAATTCAGATACACAAAACATGCAGCTCAAACAGTGAAGCACACAGTGAGACACAACATGAGTCTGAAAGATGAACTAAATGTCAGTTATAATTTAATTACAATGCTTACATTTACAAATAAAAACATAACTACAAAATATAGTATCTTTACATATAAATAGTAGAACAAACAACAAGTTTTTTTACACTCACAATTCACTGTTTAAGTACAACAGCCACACCAGTCCTAGCCTTGACAATAAAAGTAGCACTCAGATCATTGGGCAATGGCAAAGGAATAGCGATTTTTAGTTTGTTTTGTAAGCTTGTGTTTCAATTCACAGCAGTCGGTTACGTTGGTCTTTCTTTGTAACATAGATGTATTTTCCAAACAAACAAAAAAGAGAAAAAAAAAGAAATGTAAGTCATACAGAAATTACCATAAAAACTAGATACATTCTACCCATGAAGAAAATGACATTGCAAAATTAAATATGTCACCTTTAAAATTAAATCATCGCATTACAAAATTACTGATAACTTCAAAGAGGAAGCTTCCCTCTCCATCCAAATTTTGGTTTAGAATCAAATATTCGAATATCATATCTTTTGCAAACAGCATGATCTTTTTTGGTTGGGAAGCATGCAGAGAAGCAAGAATAATAACCTAGAACTAATAAAACAACATAATAGTCTGTAACTAATTATACGAACCACACCCAGTAGTATTTTCAAGCATCGAATTTGATTTATTTGATTTTTAAAAATGAATTTATCATTGACCATATACTTATGATGGACAGCTCAATCGATCTATATTACAAAAGTAGCGGCAAATAATATTCTTCAAGTAATTACAAGCGAACTGTACCATGAGAATGCAAACTCTGCAAAAAATAATACACAGCTTTTTGAAGATGTCATATACTTTTGTAACACTTTTAACAGTTTTTGCAACCTCTGCAACATGTGAAAGAGGAAAGAACCGGTAACTTCCTTTTCAGATATTACCCGAACAAAGTGCATAGCATGTAAGGCAGGCTGGAGAAAGACTCGATGCCTCGGGCAGCGCACAACACTATAAATATTATTTACAACACAGGACATGGTAGGATAATATATAATAAATGTCTACATATATCATAAATTACGGCGTAAGCACTATGGTGCTATCACAGTTGAGTGGCCCCAAACCAAAGATTGTGTTATTCTAAGATCAGTTACTCAGTTCTCATTGTAAACACAATTCAGCATAGAGATCCGAAAGGAATTCACTTTCCACAATTCACAGAACTGTTAATTTTACTTCACATTTACACCGTTGTACAGACACTTAGCTAACTTGGAATTACAAAGTTGTATCTGACATTTTTTTTACCATGAGGTCAGAAACCAACGTATGTTGTATCTGCTCTATCAAAATCATAAGATTATTCAGATTCATTTTCAAGATACTCAAAGAATTGCATTAGAAAAAGCTTGACATGTAATGAAACTCAAATTTTTAAAACTTTAAATTTCTCAAAACTAGGTACTGCGCAGATAGAACTTTGTAATTCTAAGGTAGGGACTTGTTGCTCTTCAGCCTTCTCACTAAATTATTTCAATGCAACACAAGGGACCTTTCTTAGAACAAGACTTCTTTGCCAAAAGCAGCAGGAAGACGGACATAAGCATATACATTACAATGTAAGTCAAACAAACAAAAAGTAAGCCTTCTTAACAAAGCAACTTTTATCTCGTTTACTTTTCCTTTCTTTTTCTCCAACTTCTTTAAGTTTTGAGTTTAACGCTCTAAAATATTTCTATAATCACAAAACTAGATCAGTGTGCGAATCTTAAGAGGGAGAGTAAAATTGACTTTTCAGCCCACCACTACTAAGAATCAGAAATGTTTAAAACAGGTAATTCATCGATTAAGAGGCCCAACTTTGGTGACAGAGCAAGTTTTTAAGATAGAACTGAGATTTATTTTGTACCCACTACAAGGTCTACAAAACTTTATTCCCTGACCTTGTACAAGTTGGTATAACTTACTTTTTATATCTCACAGACTTTCAACAACATAAAAAGTTGAGTGTGAAGGTCATGAGATATAAGGTTATTAATATTATCTAAAAAGGAATTTGATATTCGGATGAGATTCTTGATACAAAGTTAATTTGACATAAATAATTGCAGGAATAATTGTTCTGACAGCTCATGTGACATAAGTCCTAATTAATGTACAGTACATTACTTTGAAATTATGGGCTTAAAAGAATCAACCTCAATAGACAACCTTTTTGTTTTTACTCTGGTTTCTAGACAGACTCTAGATATCTAATAAAATATAAGTAGTCAAACCTCTGAAATATTATAAAGACTGAACAGTGCAAAGACAAACAAGAGCTTCATTGGCAGATCCTGAGTTTGGCACGTAAGTGGAGAAAAAAAAAGCTGTCTTTGCTCAGAAAAAAACTGGCACAATGGACAATGGATTCCATTCCCTCCTCCAGGAACATGATTCTCATGCCATGGACTCATACTCATCCAGCAACTTTTCGATGCTGTCGTTGAGTTCCTGCACACCAGAGGGTCCTCGTCCATCACCGGCAGAACGTACATCGACAGCTTTCTTCTTTTTATTTCTGGAGAACAGAAAAATCAAACCAGATCTTCCTGTTATGTCGGCAGCACACCAGAGACAAAGATAGGTAAGAAAACAGCTTGATCGCAATACAGAAAGTCCTTCACGAGAACAGATTTTATACACAATCAGCAGCATATCAAAAGAAGGGTTGTGTCTCCATCTCAGATGGGATTTTCATTTTTAAAAACTGCGGAAAACTATAAACATCTTTTCCTTTTTCATTGTCTGACTGACTTCAAAACAGACAACATAAAAATACTGGATTAAAACCAGTTCCTTTAGCAATCTGTTCATGACAATCACTTGTACAAACGACCACTTCCCATTTCCCCTTGCGTTTTTACAAAGAATATCATAATGATACATTCCAAGATATCTACTTGTCTGTGACAACCTCTTTTCTCCTTGACAACGGGTAGCTGTCACTTTTCGGTTTTGTACAAACTTTTCTTGGTATTACAGTCGGCCAAGACTAGGATAATCACTTTCCTCCTCAACAATGGGCGGCCGTCTTGGACAGTTTTTGACTTTATTAACATCTCACATCCCCCCTGATTGTGATTGGGAAAGGAGTACAGCCTGGTGAAGGCAGGAGGAGCAGCCTGCGCGACTGTATCAGACGCTACAACAATCAGTTGATGATGGAGACAATCAGCCTGCCCACACTGAAAGGACCATTATGAAGAAGGGTGTGGAAGCATGGAGCGCCCCGTTTTCCAAGGACCCCAGTTCTACATTCAAGTATTCAAGTAAATATTCAGTCCCCCCTCCTCCCCATAATAAAACCTCTCTCTTACCCAGTCGTTTCTCCATCCGAGTCTTCTGCTCCTGACAGGAACTTGAGTTCTCCCGTCTTGGTCTTGACGGCGGTCAGTGTGCCACTGCTGCTGACACTGGCTGCCCGACTGCTGCGCTGTGCAACACTGGGATCATCTGGAGACAAACAGGTAAACAACCACAATAAAGTGTTTGCTGTGTAGCTTTGAGTAAAAAGAAACAGGTACTAGAGAGTTCTTGTTCTTGAAGAAGAAAAAAGAACTAAAAAGATTTGGAATGCCATCATCTTGAACGACTTCGAGAGCTTGGGGTTGGATGGGGCGCCTGCAGAAGTTCAAGACTTAGTGGGAGCAGCAGAAGGCTAGGAATCAAACATTGCTTGGAACCGTCAGCATCTACACACTTCGAGATGTGCTCCTTCAGGGGACGGAGCGCTTATGGGGATGCCCCTTGTGCAGTGATGTCGGTCCTTCACACAAGTAACAAGTAACTAGTAACTAGAGAGTGACAAACACAAAAAGAAGGAGTAGAGATAAGGATCATTAATGTCTGACTGAAAAAAAAACCCCACAACCCTATCATTTCTACATCTGTTGCTCACATAGATATTCTTGTACACTCATAATGGAAACAGAGAAGGAGGAAAATAAAAAGTAAATGAAACAAAAGTAGCTGACAAAAGTGGAGGGGAAAGAAGCAAAAGAAAAGAAAAGCAACACTACTGACCATCCTCTGTGACATAGTTGGCCGGGAAGAAGCCCTGTTGTCCATCACTGAGCTCCCCCATCCACCAGTTCTCGTTGTCTTTGTACAGCAGTTTGATGACGTCGCCCTTGTACAGGGTCAGATCGTCCGACCTCTGAGCCCGGTAGTCGTAGAGGGCCACCACATGCTTGTGTTTCACCGTCTTGCCAACAGGGGACTCAAATGAGAACTGTGGCTTGTTCAGGGACTGAGGAAAGGGGACAAAAAATGAGTAAAATGCATTTACGTGTTTTTGTTTAAGTAATAGTTTTATGGCACGTGTAACACAATTAAGTCATATGAGCGCCGAAGATTAGAGGTGTCACAACAGAGTGACAAAGACATTGAAGAAGGAAGAGAGATAAAGAAGATAGATGTTTAATAGAAAAGAAGGAGTAAACCACACCAGAGCACCTGCCAACCATTCACTAGGTAAGTGTAATGGCAGACAGAAAGAGAAGCAGAATAAAAGAGAAGGAGATGCAATGTTTCAAGTTTTAGCCCATGGCAAGTCAGCATGAAAACAGATTGCATTTTGACACCACATCACAGCTTCTACAACCTGCCTGCAAATTAACAAAAAAAGAGACAAGACTAAAAGACTCATTTGCTTGAGTAATCAAGCAGAGCTTATGAATTGACAGTGTGTGGCTAGGTACGAGCAAGAAGGCAGACAAATGAAAAAGGTAGATGACTACCAAAAGAAATCAGACATGTTAAAGATTGACTGTTTAGTTTAAGACTCCACCATATGCCATTTTGAAAACTGCTGTATGATGGAGCATTAAATGATGAGGGTAGCCGAATACCAATGAAGTCAGACGTGTCCTCTTCACCCATTAACACTTACAGTACTTTTGGTAACTTAAGTCGCAAGGCCGTAGTATATGCTCACTACCACTGGCGACTTCAGTCGCCGTCACAACCAGGCATAATTCAACAACGAATGAACACACTGAACTGAAGTAAATACCTCTGTGAATTTTCAAAGCAGGTTCCTTGGGCTGTCAATATCTTTTTTAATTGAAAGAAATTCAACTACGGTTTCAGCGTTCTACACTGGTGCAGTACTTGAGGGTTTTTCACTATATGAGCCTTCGATACCGTAAGTGTTAAGTGCATGAAATCATAAACAAAAATGGTCAGCACTATCTTCATCTACTGTGTACAGATCGGTGTGTACTGCTGCAACAAGTGGGTGGGCCTACACTGTGAAAAAATCACGAAGACTCTATGGCAGCACTGAACAACATGTGAGGCAGCGTGATGAAATCAGGCGCTCGTCAAAATAATGCAAGTAAAGAAACTGTTATTTTTCAGCTGGTGTGGTCATTTTTATCGAAATTTTACTTTTTAGGCTCAACAACTTTTATGTCCACTTAAGGACCCATATCTGTGAGGATTTTATTGAAATGCGTTGATTAAACGCACAAAAATGCAAATTATCAGTTTTCAAGGACTCTCAGGCTATGTAAAAAACAAAACTTTGGCAGCCATATTCTAGTTAATTTTGCCTTTGAAACCAGGCAACCATACCTCCTTCAATTGCAAATATCTCAACTTTTATTCAAGATAAATGGGTATTTCTTTCATCAAAAGCATGACAAATGAACACGCTTTAAGGCAATACCAATAACTCAACACGCCCAAAATTTGACAAGCACCTGATTCAACCACGTCGGGACACATATCGAAATAAAAACAACCAAAACCCTTTCCAAGCCTCCAACAACCATCAGTTATGCTCACACAAAATGAAAATTCTGATCGCATTAAAAAAAACAAGACTCAGCCTCTGTATCAAAGAGAAGAAAAATTAAATCAAATCATCCAAGCGGCACATTTTCAAGTTTTAAAATGATAATTACAAGCCACATGAATTCTATACTTCTCAATATTCCCCTCCCACTCTGAGCGCACCCCCAACCTCCCCTCTCCTGGAAGGTTTTGGACTAGATTGACACACGTGACTGGCTGGCAGTATCTACATAGATGGCAGATGACTCACAGCGTTGAGAGACAGGTGTGGCGGCCGTCCATACACGCTTGGGCTGTGACTCCGTTGCCCGTGGCGACCCACTGAAAAGAGAGAGTTAAGTTTTGTTTTAGTAGAGTTTTTACTGCGCTCACAACTGCATAAGGACATATGAGTCCAAGGGATGGATGTCAACAGAGAAGTCTATACAGGGAATCAGGCTTACTCTGCTCGTCTCTCTAGCTTCAACAGCAGTCTGCTTTGACTATCAAGGCACCCTGTAAATAGCGGGTCACAAGAGAGTGACAAACATGCAAAAGAAGTAGAGGAAAAATGACGATTGTAAAGATAAGGAAAGAAAAAGCAGCAGTTCCCCGTATGCAGTACAGGCACAGTTATGAGCATGACATTGATAAATCAGCCCATTTACAATTCTACTGAGCATAAGAACATGTTAATGTCCCCCCTTTGGGAATGGCCTAAAGACACTTCAGTCAGTAGTACTGCCCCGGGGGGGTACAAAAAGAGAGACAGATAGGTAACTGAAAAGGGACCCATACATTGAAATTACTCGAGGAGCTGACATGCACAGTGCACATCTCATCCAGATTTATGTTTCATCCCAATCAGTAAGATCAGGCGATCAGTATCTTTTTAGAGTTCCCAGAAAAGGAAGTAAAAATTTAGCTGAAAGATCGTTTGCCCACATTGCTCCATCAGTTTGGAACTCTCTTCCACAACCCTTGAGACATACAACATCTGAGTCTAAATTTAAAATATCTTGAAAGACACATTTAATGGCATCATTTTTATAAATCCGTAGATTCATGTTCAGTGCAATGTTATGTAAATGACCATGTATCCATTTCTGCATTTTGATAATTGCACTGTGTCTATTATTTTATTATAATATATTTGTATATGCTCATTTTGTAACGTTGTGTAAGTGTACGCGTGTGCTGAGCAAGTAGACGTATGTGTGTATGTGTGTGTGTGTGTGTGTGTGTGTGTGTGTGTGTGTGTGTGTGTGTGTGTGTGTGTCTGTGCACATGTGTTTGGCGTGCGTACGTGTGTGCTTGTAATGTGTGTATGCATGTGTGAATATTGTTCGTACATGCATTGATGTAAAGCCCCTAGAGCTGTGTTCACAAGGGAGTGGGCGCTATAAAAATGATCATCATTATTATTATTTACATTGGGAGCACTATACACTCCCATGAGTTGACGAGGAAAACAAGCGAAAGAGTAAAACCATATGATTTGGGTGAAAAAAAGCGCATATATTATACTTTTTTCCCAAACATTGTACCGTGAATAAAGGAAGAGTATTAAAAAAAAAGAGTACAAATATAAATCTAGAAGGTATCTGAGTAGCAGCAGAGAAATGGACCACACTTGTACTGTATTTATGAAGAAGTAATCCTGTCTTTGACTATTTTGATAAGGCCGATGGTGCAGAGAAAAGCTACAAAACGCTTAAAAACATAATATATTAAAGACGATACAAACATACAGACACACCCATATATATACATATGTGCACATACACAAACACACACACACACACACACAGGTGCACATGTGGGCAGGAACACATAAACATGATAATACGAACATCCCTCTGTCAGCTTTTACAATGTAGGGCTATTCCACAGCTGACAGGACATTTGGACTATACTTTCTTGCAATGATAACACTGTAATTCAATATCAATTAATTTATTTCAACTTACAATTATCAGAACATTTGACAGACCTATTAAGAATCATATTAAATGCAGTCATTTGAAGAAAAAAAAAGTACTCTATTCAAATGCTGTGACATGTTCAGTTTCGGCAACTGACGGGACAAATGAGGTATTTTTTCAGTCCTGTCAGTAACCGTGGAATAGCGTCTGTGCCGAGCTCAAAAAGCAAAATTTTCATCAAGGAGAACAAAGCAACTGTACCTACGTTTTGTATTTCTTTCTTGCTTTTTTTTTTCAGCATTAAGTTTAGATTTAGTAAGAGTTTTACGGGACTTGCAACACAATAAGGCCATATAAGTGCCGAAGATTAGAGGTGTTACAAGAGAGTAACAAACACAAAAAAGAAGGAGGAAAGATCAGGATAACAGATGTTCGATAGGAAAGAAGGAGCAAACCACACCAGAGCACCCGCCAACCACCCACTTTCGGTATTAAAAATTCCAATTTCGACAAAATATTTCTTATACACTTGCAACAGATATCATGGATTAAGAAACTGCAATAAAACAAAACAAAAAATCAAAATTTCCTGCGTAGTACATTTTAACAGCCGGCCGACAGTAAACTGAACGATGGAAGGGACATTGTGTGACAGGTTGCACAGCATACGTCATACACATATAGACAGGACACTCAGACATAACAAATACTCCAAACACATATGTGAGGCAGCGTGGTGAAATCACGGGCTTGTCAAAATAACCAATTCAGAAAAATAGGTATTTTTCCGCCAGTTACGTAATTTTTATCGACTTTTTATTTTTTGGCTTCACCTCTTTTAGGCCAATATAAAAACACATTTCCATGTGAATTTTACAGAAAAACATTGATTGAAGGCACAAAAATATGTTTTTCAGTTTTCAAACACTCTTTAGCTATCGGAGTTACCAAACTTTGGCGGCCATTTTCTTGCTAATTTCACTACTGACACCAGGCGATCTCACTTCCTTCAATCGCAAATATCTTGAATTCTATTCAAGATAAATGGGCATTTATTTCATTGGAAGTAAGACAAATAAATCAGCTTTGAGATGATACCAATAACTCCACATGTCCAAAAATTGACGAGTGCCTGATTCCACCACGTCGTGACACATATATAATATTCACCACACACTCATATATAATATGTGTCATGATACGATGAAATCAGGCGCTCGTCAATTTTTGGGCACATGGATTTATTTGTATAGTCTTATAGCCTCTTCATTTGTCTTGCTTTTGACGGAAAAAAATGTCAATCTAACTTGAATAGAAGTCGAGATATTTGTGATTGAAGAAGGTGGGGTTGCCTGATTTGAGACATAAAATTAGCGATACGTAAAATTAGTGATAAAATGGCTGCCAAAGTACGCCCACTGCCATTCCTGAAGAGAATACTTGGAAGCTGAAAATATTCACTTTTGTGTCTTTAATCAACTTTTTCCAATAAAATCCAGACAGAAATATGTTTTTAAATGGAACTAAAAGGTGTTGAACCATTTTTTTTAAGTCGAAAAAAATCCCCAAACCAGTGGAAAAATACAGCTTTCTTTGATTTCATTATTTTGACAAGCGCCTGTTTCTACCACGACTCCTCACATAAAATATAATATTCACCATACACTCATATATGTTAAGCGTGCTGACAAATTGAGTTACTTCGTGTCTGGTGGAAATTAGGGATGGGCAGGTACCGGTACCCAGTACCTGAACTCCCGGTTCTACCGAAGGAGGTGTCAGTACCGACACTTGGCCTCCAGTACCGGCTCTGGGAAGGAGCCGACACCAACGGTTATACCAGCTCTGAGAAGGAGCCGACGTGACGGTTGTTTTTTTCTAACCGGGCAACGGGAAGTGTGCAATGTGTAGGCCTTGGCCTAGCAGCTGTGACGTCAGATGCACACAATGCAGCGGGTGACCTTGATACAGGACTTCAGATTCAAAATTGACAATCAAAAACGAAGTTTGCTAAAATTTATAATATGGCTTCAAATCAGGTTCCACGCGAGCCACTTTGCTTATTTTGATACGCTGATTCCGAAAATGAAATCAATTTTAAGCGGCGATAACTATTTTAAAAAATCTGCTTGCAAAGTTTAATCCCACGCGGCGGCAAACTTCAAAGGTATTTTGCATCACAGTTCGCCTCTCCAATTCTGACTGGTGTGGGAGGGGGGTGTGGGCGGCGCTGATCGTTGCGTTAGACGCAAGACGCGAAGTCTATGATGTCACCTACTGGTGTCACTCCCGGTACCGGTGCCGGTACTGGCGGTTCTGGTGCCGAGAAAGTACCGAGACTGGATTTTGCCGGTACTGCCCACCACTAGTGGAAATAGATGAGTCATGCTCCCCAGTGAACTTTCTACAATTTATAACTATGAAATAATAACAGGCATGTTATAGTTAAAGAATATGGCATCAATAGAAATTCAACAAACTTGACACTAGTGTGATTTTTGGCCAATATCTCCATTTTTGGATTGCGAGAAGTAACTCATTTTGTCAGCATGTCTCACATATATATAATAAATGAACCATTGCCAAAAGGTGGAGCCTCGTATGTGTGTCATGGAGGCTAAAAATAAACATTGATCAATTTGAATGTACCTTTGTCCATGCATGTACGCCTATTCTGTGCATTTTGACATCAAATAATATAGATTGTAAAGCACATAGAGCTTGCTATAGAGCAGGTATATGCGCTATGCAAATGCTATCTATTATTATTATCAAATTCCAGAGGATGTCGTCAAACGCTTACTGAGATATGACAGCATCTGTTGTTGAAATGTTAATTGACTTGTACATAACACTGATGAGTAACTGTTATTTTAAAAAAATAAATTAAGAATAGCATGATAGAATGTCAATTTTATTACCAGAACCAGCTGCAATCAGACACAGTAAAAGTCAATTAAATAGTGTTTCGTATTTTTGAAAACTCCACGTTGTGTCCTCATAGCTATGTACAAGACAAGAGGCGAAAAGTATTTAAGAAACTTAGTTTATTTATAAAAAAAGATATTGTTTTCTTCATTTTCAATTGGAGTTAGGTCCACATAGCATAGCTATGAGGTTTAAATTACAGATTTTGCAGAAATTTGAATATTTGGAAAATTATGCGAGTTTAAAGTTTGGCTGGTACAGTGCAATGATGAAACACACACAAAAAATTAGTCTCATGGCATTCGTCTCAAGCATGTCTATTGGGTAAACTTAATAAAATTTAGTGAGCTGAGGGACTGATGAGTTCAGTGTCCAAGTGGATAGTAAGTTACTTTTGTTATTTTACTTTACAGTATTTTTCCGATCCAGCTGCCATTTGACTTAGAGCCCTTCAGGCTGTCAATATGACAAAAAAATTAAAGTTTTTTTTATCAGCTGTGTTTTGCCATTGTATAGAATATTTCCATTGTCAGGGGAGACAGGGAGGTAGGTACTACGCAGGTCACTAAATGCAGGGCAGGTAAAGAGGTGGTGTGATACTGTTTCATCCTGGCAGTCACATAAAGGGCAGTCAGGTGGGGTATCCTCGCGGATCTTATTTAGGTAGGAATTCAGTGGGAAGTGTTGTGTTCGCAGGCGTAGATAGTGCCTTGTTCTCTTCTACTCAGGGAATTTAGTGCATCTTTTGAGTTGGGAGCAGTCATGTGTGCAAAAAGGATAGTACGTTCAGACTCACAATACACACATCTGTGACACAGCATTTAAGCGGGTGGTCACTGAGGTGTGTCCTTGAGCAAGACACGATGACCCTAGCTAAAAAAGCCAGGGTGACCAGAAATGATGAGTTTCTAAAATATTATCCGTATGTTTCGCTGGGTTTTTTTTAGTTTAGTTTTAGTAAGAGTTTTATTGCACTTGCAAAACAATAAGGTCATATAAGTGCCGAAGACTAGAGGTGTTACAAGAGAGTAACAAACACAGAAAAGATGTAGGAGAGATCAGGACGATAGATGTTTGATAGGAAAGAAGGAGCAAACCACACCAGAGCACCCGCCAACCACCCGCTTCTTTATGTTGGTATCTTATTATTCATGTACTGTACTTGTCGCCTCAGAACTATTTTGTCCAAAGTGCCTCTTTACTTAAGTACACTTTGAACAACATAGTTCATGATATGCCGTGCCATTGTAAACCAAATTTCCCCACGAAGATCAATTTTAAAAAATGGAAAAAGTGGAAAGGAATGAAGAGATTTCAAATGTGATATGAAAATTGTCTCGAGACAGGTTGGGATCACTCACTTTCCGAGAAGCCTGGCCTCCAGTCACTGTCGGCGGCCCGCATGTACCCGCGGTGGGATGTGATCTGCTGGGACAGCTGTGTGCCGCTGCCCGCAGGGGCATGAGGGGACAGAACTCCAGGGGGAACAGCCTGAAAGACAACAAACAACACTGCATTATGCGGTAACCCAAACGTCTTATTGTATCACTATATCTGGGTTTTTTAAAATTGCAAATGAAAATTGTGACTTTTTGTCAAATATAACCACTCTTTGTTTTTTCTCATAGTGCTGTTAAAATTCATAAATTTTGGCAGTTTTTGCTCTTCAGACAATATTTCTTTCAAGGCGTCAACACTTGTGAGGTTCATGCTTTTCCAGTGAAGAGAACCACCATCATTGCTGATCACACAACCCCCCCCAACATAAATAGAAAACAGCAACACAGATTTGAATTGTTGTGTATGCTTGTTTGAGTAAATAGGAGCATGTTGACACAATAGCTGTCATTTCATCATCATCATCATCAATGCCTTTTACCCCTGGCAGGGTATAGGCCACATACAAGCTCCTTCCATTTATCTCTGTTACTGTCATTTAGTGCAGAGAAAATGTAAGACAGACGGACAGAAACAAAAGACGGAAAGAAAAGAAGTAGGTTTTACTGAGCGCTAAACTACAAGCCAAAATGCAGAAAATCTTAGTAAAGACCATGCTCTGGATAAATCTCAGGACAGATACTTGGGCGAGTGAACAAACAAAAATGACTGGATTCAATTTTTGCTAATTTTATGCAAACTGGCATTGTATTGGTGATTTGGGGCATTGACCTCTCTGAGGTGCTAAAATCTCCCCTAAATTTCCTAACTCACATCTAAGTATAAGAGTTTTCAGTGCTGAAGGTACGCAATGGATTTTCACAAATTAGTAAAGGGGAAAACCTTTCACAGGAAACGTTTAGACAAAAAGTTTGTTTTTTAAGTAAGAGTTTTACGGCACTCGCAACACAATTAGGTCATATTAGTGCCGAAGATTAGAGGTGTTACAAGAGTGTGACAAACACAAAAAAAATGAAGGAGGAGAGATAAGGACAATAAATGTTTGACATGAACGAAGAAGCAAACCACACCAGAGCATCCGCTAATCATCCTCACAAAAAGTTCACGTACAAATTTCAACCACTTAACATAACATGACAGGCAAACCACAACAATCTTCCATCAGGAGCAGACTGCTACTTAACTGCCTCCCAAAAAGTCAAAGATTGCAACTTATGACAAGGGTAACAATGTACATTCACTAATCTGGAGGCAATTTGGCGCTGATTCTCTTTCAGTGCAGGTCCAGCACAATGACAAAATTCAACACCCCACCCCAAAAGTAAAAAAAAAACAAAAAAACTCCAACAAAAAGCAACAAAACCACTAGAAATTTTTAAAAAACAAACCAAGCAGAAAAAAAGGCAAAACAAGGAGATACCCAGGTTAGACTATGCCAACGGCTTCAATTCATATTACATAACTGTTGGGATCAGATAACATCTATTTACATGCACATCACTAATCGCTCAATTGTCACGTCAGCTTGGAGCTGTTGGTAATTGATCCTGATCATCCGACAACAACAAAAGTTTGTTTTAAAAGTTTTATGGCACTTGCAACTGCATACGCTCATATGAGCACCAAGGGGTGGATGTCAACAAAGAAGTGCAAACGGGGTATCAGGCTTACTCTGCTCACCTCTCTAGCCTCAACAGCAAAAAGTCTGCTTCCACTATCAAGGCATCCCAGAAATAGCAGTTCACAAGAGAATGACAAACATACAAAAGAAGTAGAGGAAAAATGACAATAGTAAGGAAGAGGAAATAAAAAGCAGCAGTTCCCCCTATGTTGTTCCGGCACAGTTATGAGCATGACATTGAGACCCATTTACAATTCTACAGTGCATAAGTACATGTTAATATCCCCCCTTGGGGAGTGGCCTAAAAAAACTTCAGCCGGGGGGGGGGGTGTGTGCAACAACAAAAGTGTTCATTGTCAACTCAACAGGAAAAAACACAAAAAACTCACGGCTGAGCGCGGTGTGAGAGAGTAGTCTGTGTCAAACTGCATCTTCCACGACGACTGAACACCGGAACGCCCGATGGAGTCCATCCGAGAGCTGAGCAATGACTCCGGTACCACCATACCGGGCACCTGGCTCATTTGTAACTGAAATAGACGCAAAGTAATTTAAGAAATGGCACATCAGATTTAGTTTGTTTAGGTACACAGTCGAAAACATTTAAATGAAACATAACAAAACGTAAGAAACACTAGGGAAAAGAAGTCTGAACAGCAGCTGGGAAATATTTGCGAAACTTCTAGAAAAAGAGAATATTTAATTTAAATATTGTAAATATAGATGTTTTACACCCCCCTCCCCCCCTCCCCCGAACACAATTCTGATAGTTTAGGAGACCGGCTGCATCAACTTTGCTTGACAGGGCCAGCCCATATTAAGAGTGATAGAACTTCCCAGCACACAAATGGAGATATTCTACTAAAAAAAAACAACCTCTCAGCATGGGAATCAAACTTAATATTATGTCCTCTAAGCCCAATGGGGAAGTTAGTATGTAACCAAAGACATTTTCTAAACTACCAAAGTTACTTAACCCTTCCAGCCCCAGACATTTTTGTGCATTCCCTCACCCCTGTCCCAGCCAATACAGCAGTATTTCAGAAAAAGAGGTATGCATCCTAAAATGAGAAGTAGTATCTTTGTAATGAGGTTTAGATAATAGCATATAACAATATTTAAAGGTAAATGAACAAATGTTATGGAAATTAAAGTTTTATCAAATTCGCTAATTTTTTTAAATGCACAAATTCGGTACCTCCCTCGAAACAGAATATACGGTCTTGGGACGGTGGGAGGTACATGCACTGCTGAATATATACGCGCATAGGACTGGAAGGGTTAAGAGGAGGAAACTCCAACAAAAATAAATGTGTCGCAGCGCTCGTCAATTTTTTGGTATATGGAGTTATTGGTATCATCTTCAAGCCAGTCCTTTTGCCTTACTTTTGACGAAAAAAATATCCATCTATTGTAGATACAAGTCAAGACATTGGCAATTGAAGGAGGTGGGGGTCGCCTGATTTCAAAGATAAAATTAGCGAAAAAATGGCTGCTAAAGTTGAGTTAGCTTGAAAGCCTGTGGAAACTGAAAATTTGTATCTTTTAAGGTTTTAATCAACTTTTTCAATAAAATTCACACAGAAATGTGTTTTTTAATTGACATGACAGGTGTTGAGCCAAAAAATAAAAATTTGATCAAAATTCCAAAACAAGCGGGAAAATGCCAGTTTTTTCACTTTCATTATTTTGATGAGCGTCTGATTTCACAAATATTCCCTATAAATAGCGTTAAGCCAAATGGCCAGTCAGCATATAAAATAAAACTTCCCAAACAACTATAGATCAATACTGGCCTTTAAGAGATTAGAAGTAGAGCAGCATGCACCAGTCTAGTGTAATATTGACCCACATCCTTCATGAGTTAAATTGAATGTGACGAGAAACTGTTACTAACCGTAGCGGTCTCCAGCTTTTTCATGACCCTGTGATACCGGGCTTTTTCTTGTGTCTCAAACTCTTCTTTGCTCATCACTTTTGACCTTGCTGTCTGGAGGTCAAGTTCTTTTAAGGCACTGAAAATAAAAGCCATATCAAAACATCATTTAACTCCTTCAGTGCATTATATTGATGTACTAGTACGTGAACTTAAAAAGAAAAAGCAGCTAGCAACACGTTTCTTCAACTATGAAAAACAAGTTCAAGCTAGGTGATAAAATAATTTCAATTTTGGATGGCTGAATGCACACAACAGCAGAAGCAACAATAAAGTCAGGAAATGTGCATTCACATGAAATACATGGAAATATAAGTGACATAAAAATCAGAGTAGTGGCTTGCAGTTTTATCACTGACCTTGCTCTGGCTGTTTCTAGATCTTCGATGTCTGTGGTTTCCACTGGAGACATTGGCCGGGGAGAGGCGGCATCTGCTTGAGCGACTGAATTGATGATAATGAAATAAATTTTAGAGCTGGAATGGATAAGTACTCACATCATGCCCTTTTTTAAAACACATGATACGGTTGGGAATCTAACCAGTTAGTTTAATTAAAGACCAAGTTAATAAGCTTTTAAGAATATTTCATCAGAAGATTGAAAAGCAGCAAACAAAAAAGCACCTTGGGCTTCGATATTTTAAAATTTAAAACTAAGAAGTAAAAAAACAGCAAAATACACCCCAAAAACCGTCTTTATTCATATCACACCTTTGTCTGGAAACCAGCAAAAATTGATTTGGGCAAATGCAGAATGATGCCACTGATACATATTGTAATTATTGTATACTATGGCATAAGCTCAATAAGAGCCAGTATAAAAAATCCATTAAAATTTCAGGCAAAAAGACTTCTCAGGATAATTTCATGGAACAAATCTAGGACCTCTGGACAAGAAAACGAGAGCCTCACCCATTAAAAAAAATCCTTTAACAACTTATCTAAACCTTGAACACTTTTATCTCATCGACCTCCAAAGCAAAAGTGTTGGGCACAAATATTCATCCTTCATCGAGACCACGGTAAACTCACTGAGTGGGTCATACTTGTACAGATAGACCGGGTGGTTGCTGCCTAATGAGCACACGGCTAACATATGGTCACGGGGGTGGTAGCAGACATCGGTGACTGGCTTTTGGTAGTTCAGTTGTGTGTAGACAGCCACTTGGTCACCTATAAATATGTGTCAAAGGAACGCGTGTAAATGTCAAAGTAAATGTAGATATCGCATGATTTGTTCATTTTAACTTTGACAAATCTGACATAAGAAACCTAGATTTTGAGTAACATTCTTATTTAGAGAAGAATCACAACAAAAAATGATTCACTACACACTAATAAAGTGTTCTTTCTTTTTGTATTCCCCAAGCTAAAGCCTTTGCTAGAAAACAAAATACAATGAAAATTTGCAAGCTCAATTCCAATCTTCAAAAGTAGGCACTTATCACCAGAAGAGCTGGCATTTCCTATTAAATTCTTTATGTTAAATCATTATTTTTAAGCACAGCATGGAGAACAACCTATTGTTTGTTTGAGTAAGTTTTACAGCGCTTGCAACTGCACAAGGTCATAAGGTCATATGAGCGCCAAGTTGTGGATGTCACAGGGAAGTCCGAACGGGAAATCAGGCTTTCTCTGCTCACCTCTCTAGCTTCAACAGCACAAAGTCTGCTTTGAATATAAAGGCACCCCGGATATAGCAGTTCAAAAGAGAGTGGCAACCATGCAAAAGCAGTCAAGGACAAATGACTATAGTACATGTTAATATCCCACTTTTGGGAATGGCCTAAAGACACGTCAGTCAGTGGCAGGCACTG